CTTCCAGATACAGAGGCGGAGGGGCCGTGCCTCCTCCAGTTATAGAGTGGAGTCTTTGTAGTCAGTCAGCAGCGTCTAAGATAGACCTACTGTGTGCCTGGCTTGGCCACTGTGGGGTCACAGGAAGAAAGAGGTAGCAGCAATCAAGGAACTTACAGCCTACTTGGGGAGGTCTTATATTCTTAAAAGAGAGCAAGGAACAAGCCAGTTAACATCTCAGGGGGCAAAGAACTGTCCACTGTGGGAGTTGTTTGATAGGAGTTGAATCTTGGAGTTTCAAAGCTGCCTGTGGAGCAAGCAGGGCACCAGGAGTTGAGATGGGTAGGATGGGAGGCAATTCAGAGAAGGGAGGGAGAGTGTGATCCTAGAGGATCAGGGGCCACCTGATTGGAGGACTGTCAGTCATGCCATTATTGATTAATTATAGTTATGTCTGTCATAGGTAGGAGAGGGGATGGTGGTGGCACAACTATAGGTTAGAAGGAACCCCTCTACAGGACATGGTAGTTTGCTCCAGGAGCTCTGTCTATTTAAATAGAAAGAATGTGAAGTCCAGATTATAAAGTGACTTTATCAAGGTCATAAGCTTATCATTGCAAGAGGAGAATAAGTGTCTGAGGCAGCCAGTGAAAGTCTTGCAATGTAAGTCAAGTTCCCGGGCACTGGGTATCTGGCCCAGGAGGTCCCTGCTATTGTGGGACACAATCTTGTATGGGAGAGAGGTCACTACAAGAAAATGAAGTGAGCACTGCCACAGACCAAGTCTGCTGCCGTGGTCACCCATGCAGGTGGCAAGTTCAGAGCAGAGCAGGGTGACTGCAGTTTGGAGACCAGAGCTGCTTTGCTGGCTGAGCAAAGCTTTGACAGATGGGGCACATTTGGAGAAGGTGGGATGGAGCAAGGCACAGTTGACAGGTCACTGTCAGCAGCAAGTGGGGGGTGAAGGGAGGGAGCACCAGGGCCACGGGGGTGCTCTGTGGCGCCATATGGAAAAGCAGCAGGCCCGGAGTGAGTGTGGTTGATTTACAATGAAAGGATTGTGCGAGTGCTCAGGGCTTCTGGGAATGAGAAAGTTCCCAGTAACTTAGAACCACAGACCTCAGGCTGGTGGTGCCCAGAGGGAAGGACCAGGAAGGTTAAGGAACTTGTTCAAGGGGCTCTCTCCAGACAGTCCCTTTGTTCCCTCAGCCCTACCAGCCCTGCTCCCACACCAGCCAGTTTGTGTGCCCTCTCCCTCGGAGGAATTGGACACTGGAACTCACCAGCAAAGTGCTGTCTCTCCTGATGGTAGGTTGGTTTCCACCATGAGAGTCTGGACAGTCAGGATGTGCTGAGTAGGAGGTGTGGGGGGAGCTTGCTTATGACCTCTGCCCCATCTTGAAGAAAATGAAGAGAATTCAAAATAAAACAGCTTTTATGTCCTGTGGCTTCTTTGCCAAGGTCTGTGGTTGCTGAGCAAGGCCGGGGAGTGGAACACAGAGCCTGATCTGGTTTTTTTTTTTTAATTAAATCATAGCTGTATATATTAATGCAATCATGGGGTACAATGTGCTGGTTTTATATACAATTTGAAATATTTTCATCAAACTGGTTAACATAGCCTTCACAGTATTTTCTTATTGTGTTTAGACATTTATATTCTACACCTAGTAAATTTCACATGTACCCTTGTAAGATGCACTATAGGTGTGGTCCCACCGATTACCCTCCGTCCACCCATCCTCCCTTCTCCCCTTCTCTCCCCTTCCTCTCCCCTTTCCCCTTCTTCTTGGGCTCTAATTGGATTATAGCTTTCATAAGAAAACTATGAATTGGTTTCATAGTAGAGCTGAGTATGTTGGATACTTTTTCTTCCATTCTTGAGATACTTTGCTAAGAAGAATACGTTCTAGCTCCATCCATGTAAACACGTAAGCGGTAAAGTCTCCATCTTTCTTTGAGGCTGCATAATATTCCATGGTGTACATATAATTTATTAATCCATTCATGGGTCGATGGGCACTTGGGCTTCTTTTGTGACTTAGCAATTATGAATTAGGCTGCAATAAACATTCTGGTACAAATATCTTTGTTATAATGTGATTTTTGGTCTTCTGGGTATATACCTAGTAGAGGAATTGTAGGATCGAATGGCAGGTTTATTTTTAGATCTCTAAATGTTCTCCAAACATCTTTTTAAAAGGAACGTATTTGCATTCCCACCAGCAGTGTAGAAGTGTTCCCTTTTCTCTACATCCATGCCAACATCTCTGGTTTTGGGATTTTGTGATGTGGGCTAATCTTACTGGAGTTAGATGAATCTCAAAGTAGTTTTGATTTTCATTTCTCTGATGATTAAGGATGATGAGCATTTTTTCATGTCTGTAGGCCGTGTGCCTTTTCTGGCCCGGCTTTCAAGCCTTGCATGGAGACGACACTCAGTAAATGCAGAACTGAAACAGATACACAAGTACAGACGCCTTCCTCTTTTCACCCACAAGGCTTAGCCCTGTCCGTTTGGGTCCTGTCTAGCAGTCAATGGGGAGCTGCTGGCCATCATCTCCTGCTAGGGGGACACCAGGGAAGACAGTGGGTGGGATTTTTCATGGCTGGCTCCTCAGGAAGTGGAAGTTGGGTGTCTAAGACCAGCCTGAGCCAGCCTGGGTCTGTGCTAGTCTTCCCAGGCTGCTCTGTTCGCGGGAGACAAGGACCCCAGCCCTCAGCTTCCTACCTGTATGTAGCTGTGAGGACCTGAGGAGGTCACACGTGTGTTGTCAGCTGACTGCAGAGGGAAGGACAGGATGGGTCGGCCTCACAAAAGAAGTTTGTAGACGAGATGGGTGGTTGGTCACTGCATCAGTTTCCTAGGGCTGCTTGATGTTGGACTTCTAATTACACGCTGGGTGGCTTAGGACAATAGAAATTTATTGTCACTCACAATTGTAGAGATGACAAAGCCCAAAATGAAGATGTTGACAGGGCCACGTTTCCTCTGAACGCTCTAGAGGAGGAATTGTTCCAGGCCCCTCTCCTAACCTTTAGTAGTTCCTTAGCTCCTGGCAGCATCATGCCAATCTTCACATGGTGTGGCCCCCTGCGTGCATCTGTGTCTCTGTGCCCACATTTCTCCTTTTTATCAGGAGACCAGTCATAATGGACTGAGGCCCACCCTCATGACTCTCATATCTAATCACATCTACAATGACCCTATCTCCAAAGACAATCAGATTTTAAGGTCCTGGGGGTTAGGGCTTCAACATATGTATTTTTTGTGTGGGGCATGGGGGATGCCATTCAGCCCATAGCATTCACTGAGGAGCACCCCTGGCAGGCTCTGATTAGCCTTGGGGACCCCAGCACACACTCTCCAGCCTGTTATGCAAATGCGGAGGTCTCTGGTTACCCAGAATGCCTATGTGCCCGGCCATGAGCCATCCCTACAATCGGTTCCCTTTGCCTGGATGACCCCTTTCCTCTTCCCTCTGCTTGACTGACCCCTATGAATCCTTTCATGCCCTGCTCAGGGGAGTCCTTTCTTGATCTCCTCAGGAAAGATGCCTATGCTTTGGTTCTACATGGCACCCTGAATCAGAGCACAGATCACACTGTATCGTAATTCTTTCTTATGTGTGTGTCGTCCCATACCGTCCACTTGTGTGTCTTCAGTGTCTGCCGAGGCCCAGCCATGTATGGAAAGGTGCGTATCCAGTGTATGAGCTAATGGACCTGCGAAGGGGCAGACAGTTCCAGGGGCCAATCGGTCATAGCATGTGTCAATAGAATCAGGCCTTACAGAGGGGTCCTAAAATGAATCCTGGAGACATTAACAGGAGGTCAAACACACAGAGGAGTATACATATCATACGTGCACGGTTCAGTGGGTTTTCACAAACTGAGCACTCTCCTGTGACTGGCACTGAGATCAAGAAACAACATTATTAGCTTCCCTCTCCCCAGAAGCCCCTGGTTTCCCTTCAGTTACTAGCTGATTTCTGTCACCACAGACCTGTTCTTGAACTTCATATAAATTGAATTATATTAATGGGTACTCTTTCTATCTGGATTCTTTTGCTCCAAATTATGTTTGAGAGACCTATCTATATTATTGCACATTGTTTTAGTTTTTCTGTTCTCATTGCTGTGTAATATTCCAGCATGTGAACCTAGCCCAATTTATTCATCTGGTCAACTGCTGACAGGCGTTTGGGTGGTTTCCAGTTTGTAACTGTTGTGCATGGTGCTTCTGGATACTTCTGGTGTATACATCTTCTGGTGAACTCTGGACACATGTCTTTTGTTTATACTTGGAAGGCGTTCCTGGGTCACAAGGCATACGCATGTGTTGCTTGAGTAGATGTGGAAGTCTTGTTTATGAAGAGTATGAGGATGGCAACCAGACTGTAGGGGCGAGGAGGGATGGAGAGCGTCAGGAGTGAGGTCGGAGAGTTGGAGAATTTGTCAGGGAGCCCAGGAGCAGAGAAACTAAATCACAGAGGCTGCATCCAGTAGAGTTTTTTGTCTGTGCAGCAGATCATGTAGGAACACTGGAGGTGGAACGGGAGCTGATGTAGCAAGAAATTCAGTCTCTGGTGTGGTCATGGTTAACGCTGGCTTCTCTGGGTGTGGTGGTTAACTCCAAAGGAAGTCAACCCCCACGTGGGCCTCCAGCCTGCCTGGCTCTGCATAGCTCCCTCCTGGAGAGAGACCACTGCTGCCCTCAGGCTGACTATGGTGGTGGCTCCTCAGTGGGTTGTATAGGGAGAGATGTGGCCTGCGGGTGTGACCCTGACCCTGACCCTGACTCTGACTGCATACCTCTGTAAAATATCCACAGAACAAAAGCCAGTGCCTGGGGGACCCAGAAGTCCCCCAAAGAGTGTACTGAACTCTCCTCTCTGGGTGACCCAGACAGGACACTCACTCTGGTGAGTGAGTGGGGAGGCCTTTGCCTACTGTCCACTTGTCCTCAGCGACCTGACTAAGCAAATAATGGCAGCTATTTTTGCCCCTATCTCTTCCAGAATGGCAGCAAAGACAACTCTCTGGACATGCTGGGCACGGACATCTGGGCTGCCAACACCTTTGACTCCTTCAGGTAAGCACCTCTTCCTCCTGTCTCTGCGTGTGCTGCTCCAGCTGGGCCCCAGCTGCTTAGGGACTGCGCATCTGCTCACTGATGGAGGAGGGGAGAGGGAAGGAGGGTGGTGGGGTGGTCAGAGGTAGGTGGGCCTGGAGGGGGAGCACCGTGGGTGGGAGAGTGTAGTGGCCCCCTAGACCCAGCGGGGTCGCTGTTCCCTGCCCCACTCGCTGGCCTCACCCTCTCGGGGTCGCCTGGCCGGCCTTTGGAGCCCCCTGTCAAAGGCTCTGGAGAGGAGCTGCCCCCCAGCCTTCCTCAAACCAGGCATGAAGCCCGGTTAGGGCTGCCCAGCTCGCTGTGCAGTGCGTTTCCCCACCGTGAGCGAGACACGGGGAGGGCCAGGCAACTCGGGCTGCGTTCTGAGTGGGGGCCCCGCTCGAGGCTGGGTCAGCCTGGCATCTGTCCCTTGGGTAACTGGTCTTGTCGCCCCCTCGCCTCGCATTTCTCGCCCTCCCTCGCCCTCTAGCGGTGCCACCTGGGACCTGCAGCCCGAGAAGCTGGACTTCACCCAGTTCCACCGCAAGGTCCGGCATGCGCCCAAGCAGCCCCTGCCTCACATCGACCGCGAAGGGTAAGGGGCAGAGGCGCTTACTGGGGCTGGGGCTGGGGCTGGGATGGCTGTCCCCGGGCAGGAGCCTGTGCCTGCCAGGGAAGCCCTTCTGCCACACTGGAGACACATGGGTGGCCAACATCCCGGATGATCTCCCAGCCTGGCTCAGGACTGCGGGCTCACTGGCTTCTCCCAGGAAGAGGGTCTCAAACTTGAGCTTCAGAATCCCCAGAGGGCTTGTGAACAGGCAGCTGGCAGGGCCCACACCAGTCTCTGATTGGCTAGGTGTGGGGTGAGGGTGTACATTTCTAACATGCTCCCAGGGGGCGCTGCTGCTGCCGCTTCTGCAAAGCCCACACTTGGGGAACCCCTGGTGCACTGGCTAACTTCACAGGGGGTTGTCACCCGCTGTTGACCATGTATCAGTACTGCCTTCCATCTGAAAAGGTGCTGTCACAGCCTGGGCTGCCCTCAAGATAGGGATGTCACTCCAACCAGACACAGGGGTATGGGACAAATGGCTGCTGCTGCTTTTATATCTTTTTCCTTTTCTTACCTTTCCTTTCCTTCCTATCTATCTTTTTTCTGAGTAGAGTCTCACTCTGTCTCTCTGCCTAGAGAGCAGTGGTGTCATCAGAGCTCACTGCAACCTCAAATTTCTAGGCTCAAGCAATCCTCCCACCTCAGCCTCTTGAGTAGCTGGGACTACAGATGTGTGCCATCACTCCTGGCTAATTATTTTTATTTTTTAGAGATGGGGGGTCTGGCTGTGTTGTCCAGGCTTGTCTTGAACATGTAGCCTCAAGCCATCTTCCTGCCTCGCCTTCCCAAAGTGCTGGGATTGTAGGCATGAGCACCGTACCCAGTCTCTTTTATTTTTTAAAAATAATTTTTATTGTAGTAAAGTTCACATAACATAAAATTACCCATTTTAAAGTGCAATTCAGTGACTTTAGTATATCGCTATTTTACTTTTAGTAAATTCACTATGGTGTGTACCTTCCACCTCTATCTAAGTTCCAAAACATTTTCAAAACCCCAGTATAAACCCCTGTCCCTGACCCTCAACCCCTGGCACCCACTAATCTGCTTCCCATGTCTATGACTTTACCTATTCTGGAAACTTAGAGAAACTTAGAGAGTGACATGTGACCTTTTGTTTCTGGCTTCTTTCCTGTTATGCTGAGGAGCACAATGTTTTTGAGGTTCATCCTCATTGTAGCATGTATCAGAACCCTACTCCTTTTCATGGTTGAATAATGTTCCATTGTATGGACATACCACAACTGGTTTATCCACTCATCTGTTGAGGCACTCCTCACTTGGTTCCACCTTTCAGTTACTGTGAATAATACTGCTATGGACATTTGTGTAGAGTCCCTGTATTTAGTTCTTTGGGTAGATATTTAGGAGTGGAATTGGGGGTTGTATGGTAACCCTTATGTTTAACTTTTTGAGGAATTGCCAGACCATTTTCCACAACAGATGAATATTCTGCATGCCTACCAGCAGGACACAGGAGTTCTGATTTCTCCACATCCTCTCTGTCTATGCTTAATTATTGTGCTGATGGCTCTTATTTTTCCTTCTGCCCTCCTTTCACACTTTTCTGTGTCTCACGTGTCCTTCTGCTGCCATCATTGCCTTAACTCACCCCTGAGATGGTCTGTCCTTATAGTGTATGAGCACCAACTCACAGAAAGAGTTGATCTCATCCCCATTTTAGAGGTGAAGGGGACACAGTCACTTGCCTAAATAGCAGAGCTGTGACATATGGCCAGGCCTTCTGACACCATCTGTGCCCAGGTCTTCACACCATGGTCTCCTTAGCCTCCTTAAGGTTGTCTTCAAAATGGTATATGTGCGTGCATAGGTGTGTTTTTTGGGGAGACCCCTACCACTTGAATCAGACTCTCTCAGGGGACCCCAGCCTCTTGCCACATCTCCTTCTTTCATTGTCCTACCCAGCATGGGTTTCATTTTCCTTTGGGGAGAGAGCTTTAAGTATGGAGGCACCAATTGGAGGTAAAGCGTGGGTGGGACACAGCTAACCCCACCTCACTCCATCTGCCCCTTGCTGCCTGCTCAGCACCCCCATCCAGCTGTAGAGCTCCACAGGGCTGTGCCTCTGCAAGTCTGTCTTCAGGAAAGGTGGCTTTGTTCAGCTGGTAGAATTCAGGACTGGGTTTTCAGCAGAGGTCACTCTCGCCATCTGCCCTGCTGTGGAATGGATTGGAGGTTGGGTGTGCCACAGGAATGGGGGGAGCACCTCACTTTTCTCAAGTCCACACAGCCAGTCTGTCACTATATGTGCTGGGTCCCCGCATGGCTCTAGGTGCCTTAAGGAAAATGCCCAGACAGACACACTGTGTAATATGGTCCTTGCCTAGAACGACATTCATCTACTGGGAAAGGGAGACATGAGCCCATTTATGATTGACACTGTATAGCGAAAACAAAATGACTAAGCCACGTAATGCCTATTTAGAGAGCAGGCAGCATCTAGGTGCAGGGTTAGATGAAGCGAATGCAAAAGGGGTTAGAAAAGAGAGGGCACTGCAGGATGGCCGCCTGTCTCGGGAAGGAGACTGCATTTCCCTGGGCAGCTCCAGTCTCTCCTGTGTCCCCTGAGAGCATATAGCTGGTGAGACCAGCGGGGAAACTGAGGCCCTGGGAGTGGAGTAATGGTGCTGCCTCACTGACTGCCATGTCCGATGGAGAATGCATGTGGAAAGCAGGCTTTCCAAAGGTGTGTGTACCAGTTCCTACAGGTTAACTGACTTCGTGACAAAATGCCATTTGGTAGAAGCGATAAATGACTATCCAGGGGAGGACAGATGCCTGTTGTGCTGAGGGGCATTGTCCCTTCAGAAGGAAAATACCAGCCACACCCATGTAGCCAGCTGTGGGCCTGAATTGCTAGTCACCAGGAGCTTGCCAGGCTTACTGAGTTCCATGGACACTTGACTCTCTGGTCAAGTCCCTCACTACCAGATTACTGGGGAGTCTGGGCGCAGTGTCCTATGGCCACCTTGTGAGCAGGACAGGAACTGTGTCCCCCTTAAATTCCTGCCTTAGTGAGGACAGACTACTCATGCCAGCCACTGCAATCTCCCTCACAAGCAGGGTACCCGTTGGTTGCCAAGGCTTCCTGCAGCCTCTGTTTCTATGGCAGGACAGAAATCAGAGAAGTCTGTTGCCTTGGAAACACAGTTGGCAGCAGTGACTCAGCTCATCTGTAGCCACCTCTGCCCTCCAAACCTGCAGTCCTCCAGGGAGTTCTGAGCCCTGACCAGAGCAAGTCAGGGGAGACAGCAGCCTCCCCTATTTTCTGCCCTCTTGCCCAAGCCCTGGGGGTGCAGAGGTGAGAACAAGAGGCCTTGCCTGTCATGTGCTAAGCTGTGCCCAGTGTGTGCTTGGAGCTCAGAGCACACAGGAGGGTCCCAAGGGGTGTTTTCCCCACAGGTGACATGGAGGAGGGATGTCAGGTAGTCCAAGCTGGCCAAACCCCCAGACCCCTCCTCCTTCATGGCCCTGGCAGGTGCAGAACCCAGAAGACAACAGGCAGCTGGTGCTTTCACAGACCAGTCCATCTCCACCAGGCAGATAGATGAGTTGAAAGGTGGTTGGGTCTTCCAGGCCTTTCCTCACCTCCTCACTTGTTGTCCAGCACATCTTGGGCATGCGGGAGGGGAAAAGGACAACTTTTCCTCCTTTGCTTCACACCTGTTACACCCACTTACACCCCTCCTCATCCCAGCTCCACCTGCCCAAACCTGAGCTCCTCTCCTCTGCAGCTCCGTCCTGCCCCTTGGCCCACCATCCCAGCCACATGCAGCAAATTTACATTTGCCTGTGGTGCTCTCTTCCTGGACATTCTTCTACATTCCCTGTAAGTGACCAGCTCACTTCTTGTCTTCCTCTTGACCTTCACCTGGACAGTTGTAGATGCTGCTGCTGGAGGTTTCTGTAGCACGCTGGCCACGGCGTTGTGAGAGCTGATTCTCAGACAGGAAAGGGCCAGTTCATGCACTGTTTACATCTGGGCCCGGCCCCTGCCTGGAGCCTGGCACAGAAGCATTTGGTGAATGGAGAAATGAACCATCAGGTCTGATATAGAGGGTTAGGTTATTTTCTTGATCTCTTCCACCTACCTCTGCTGGGATTGAGGGCCAGTTTCTCTTGCTCTGGATTTCCGGGCTCCCCTGGCCGCATGCTGCCCCCTAGTGGCGCTTAGGTAGACAGCCCTGTAAGATGTGACTGCCGGGCTCATTCTGCTAAGAGCTCTCAGCTGCCCAAGGGCAGGAACTACAACTGGTTTTTGTTGACAAGGCTCAAACCAGACGAGATGCTTGGTGACTATTTAAACAAATGAACTAACTACTCTCAAATATTAGAGTTGCATTAACTCTGCAGCTGGAAAATGCTGTCATCAACCTGTGGGACAGCCCTCAGCATACCTCAGTACCACTGATGATACGTACTGTGCCGTGCACTGGCCAGGCACCCGTCCCTATTCTAAGCACTTGCTGTGTATTATTTAAAACTCCACACAGCCCGGAGAGGCAGGAACTGTTATCATCTGCACTTCAACAGATGAGGATACTAGAAGACCCAGAAACTGGGTAACTTGCATGAGGCTGGGTTAGCCCCAGAGAACATGCTGTTACTCGGCCACCTTGCTGCCCATTTGCCCCAGTAGCAACAACATAATAGTAGTGGTAAAAGTGGGCATAGTAGTAGTAATGTATTTACTTTATTTATTTTATTATAATTGTATTTCATTATTACCTTTGTTTACCATTAAAATATGTACGTCTGTATATAATGGTGGAACACAGTTCTAAGCATCTCAGCACTTAGATACATTAATTAATTTAATCTTTTGCCTGCTTCATGATGTGAAACAAATTTGTTATCCCTATTTTACAAATGAGGAAACTGAGATATAGAGGGGTTAAGTGACTTACACTGGGTCCCTGGGTTAGTAACCACTCCAGTTAGCAGCTGTGGTTCAGAATCTGTACTCTTAAATACGCAGAAGAAAGAAACCTCTGGGGGCCAGCGTCGCTGACCTGATGGCACACCCACTCACAGAGGATGTGAAGACAAAGCATACAGTATCTGAGCGAGCATGTTGGACTGGCTCAAAGCCAAGGAGGAAGGAAGCCTCACTGAGCTTTCTGCCAGTCCTGCTATTCTGTGTGAACCTGAGAAATTGCTTAGTCTCTCTGTTCACTGATTTTCCCTTTGGTGCAATAGGGCAAGATGGATAGTTTTTTGCAGGAGTTATGACAAGCTTTAGACTAGTCATTAGCAAGGAGCTTAGCTCCTTTGCCTTTAAGGGTCAAGGGGAACTCTGGTTCTTTTCTCACCTCCCTCCAAGTTGACTGTTGCATTAGGGGAGGAGGACCCCCATCCCTAGAGCCATTTCCTCTGGGCAGGACAGCTGACTCTGCAGGGTTTAAGGGATGACAGGACCAGGTATCTCCTGACTGTCCTTCCTCTTCTGCTTGCAAGTTGCATAAATGAACCATCCTTCCAATGCTTTTTTGTTTTTCCTGATCCAGGTGTGGCAAAGGGAAGCTGGAAGATGGGGATAGTATCAACTTGAATGACATCGAGAAGGTCCTCCCAGCCTGGCAGGTAGGTTCGGGGCAGATTCTCTATCTCCCTGCCCTACCCTTGATGTCCTGATCCTCTGCCTGGGTAAGGCCTGAGCATCCTGCTGGCTCCTTGGGGTACAGCCACATACATTGCAGTGGCAGGTGGGCATCTGCCACGGTCCAGGGTATCCCACTCTGACAGGGGTGTGGCAGCCCCTCTTGGCATGCTGTGGGCACTGGTGGCAGGCTTGGTGCCCTCTAGAGATGAAATGGGCCACACATTGGCAACTCAGTGAACTTGGAAGTTTTTTGTCCCTTGACCTGAAACCTCAAAACCTCGCAGGTGAGGCGTCTCCTAGTCTTCAGGTGGGAATGGCAGGACTGTTGGGGTTTCTGATGTGGTTGAGGCCATCTTTAGGCTTTTGAAAAGTAAGAGTTGTCCTGCCAGCCTCTAGGTGTCTGCTGTGTTTGCTGATTTTGTTATTGATTTGGCTTTTTTCCTGGAATTGAGCTGGGCTCCAAGTCAAAGAGGATTCATTCAGTAAAGATACAGTGAATCCAGGTCATTAAATGCTTATAGTGCTGGAATTCCTATGGGAACAACTGGAATATGGCTGCTCCCAGGGATGGAGTTGGGCCTTGCAGGGGCTGAGAGCACAGGACCCTCTGCAGTGACTGAGCCTGCCACTGCTGGTGACCCACCACCACACTCCTCCTATCACCCTATATCTGTTCCTTTGTTGTTGGTGCCTTTCCCATTGTGTTTCTTCTCTGTTGATCCCTTGGGCCTATTGATGAGAGATAATAGAGCATTTATTGAGGGCCTCAGCAGTTTGATTACAACGTGTACCTTGGTGTAATAGCTTTTCTTCATGTTTCACCTACTTGGGATTTTTTGAGGTTTTTTGGATCTGTACGCTTACAGTTTTATCAAATTTGGATTTTTTTCAGTCATTACTCCTCCCCTTTCCCTCTACCCTGGGGTTCTAATTATAGCTACGCTATGCTTCTTTTCCCCGGGCCCACCGAGGTTCCGCTTATTTTAAAACAATTTTTTCTCTCTGTGTTTCATTTTGGACAGTTTCTATTGCTATGTCTTCAAGTTCATTAATATTTTCTTGCAGTGTCTGATCTACTCTTACTCCAATCCAGTGTATTTTTCCTTTCAGATTTGTAGTTTTTATCTCTAGAAGTTCAGTGTGGATTCTCGCTTTTTACTTGTTGTAGCTTTCATTTCTTGTACTTTCTCCTCTCTTCCGAG